GTTTAGTTCTCATTCTCTTCAGACACCTAATAGAAATGCTCCATGAATCATAAGCACTCAATAAAAATGTGTGAGATGATACGGGCTTGTTTGGAGCAATAAGGTTATGCTGGAGAATATTTATAAAAAGACTGAAAGCGAGGAGGGGTTAGATTACAACAAGACCAGCATGTCAGGCCAACTCTGCTTTATTAGGTCATGTGGAACCAGTTTGGTTTTTGAGTTTGCAGGAAGGATATGGCATATATATTACTTTTAATTAGACCTTCATAAATCAGTTCTAACTATCCAAAGTTTGATAGGCATTCCTAGATGTAACCAGGAAATTATTTGGCCCCTTACCTGTATCAGGTGTTTCTATTCGAGAGGTCGAGAAACCCTATAACTTAAAACACTGCAAGTTTTTATTAGTAGATGATTTATTTTGCAAACCTAATTTTATATATATGCACTGAAATTGTTAGCTGCTTATTTTTCTCAACTTTTAATCATTGTGCATTCAAATGTGCTTTGTTATAAGTAGTTAAACATGTGGTTTATATATTTAGTTAATAAAACAGGACAAGGAATTTCAATGTTTTACTAAGTTGTGTATTTGTGAGTGTAAAGTTTAATCAATACACATTTTTGAAGTATTTAGATGGTTACAAAGGTAACATGGCAGAGATTTAGATAACACAGTAACGTTATCAATACTTGATATGTCAAGATTTAAAAGAGGATGGTCTTAGACTGGATTAGCATTGTACAATTTTATTTATTGATTAAAAAAATTTTTTTTCTTTATTGATTTTAGAGAGAGAGGAAGGGAGAGGGAGAGAGATAGAAACACCATTGAGAGAGAACATCAATTGGCTGCCTCTTGCATGCCCCCTACTGGGGACCGGGCCCACAGCCAGGGCATGTGCCCTGACCCCTGACCGGGAATCAAAACCTCTTGGTGCATGGGTCGATGCTCAACCAATGAGCCACACTGGCCGAGCTGCATTGTGCAATTTTAAATGCAGTTAGCAAAAGGCAGTCCTCCCAGGGACAACCCTGCGGGTATAATTCCATTTTTATAATGTTTTAAAATATTTGCCGTCACTAAGTGCAAGTAGCATTCCTCTTTGTCCACTTCTACCCCAAATAGCAATTTAATATGCCACAATGTTTATTTCTGGTTCTTTTCTGTGGTGACTGAGAATAATATTCTTAAGCTCTTCTTGTGTCATCTTATGCTAAAAAATACACACTGGCGATATGTAGAAGAGCTGTGATATTTCTTGATGGAGTCTGTAGCTTGGTTAGGTAGCAAATTATCCCAACTGAAGTTGCTTCCTTTTTCCTCTCCTCTTACCCCTCACACCCTTGATGCTATCAGAGTTTATTTTTATTTAGACTGAGTTACCACCGAGAGCTCACCTGCTGGCTTGGCCAAGAGCGGGAAGGTCATAAATGAGGGGTGTCACAAGGCCGTCCCCCACAAACGTTTCTCTCCCACTTGCCCTGCCTCATGGCCTAACACTCCTTCGGATTGCTGCAGGTTTTTGTGTTGTGTCTCTTGGAGGTCGTGGACAACTGTTTCATTGAAAAGAGCACCACAGCCTCATTTGCCCTACAGAGAAAAGCACTTTCATCATGTCAGCTTCTGCCTTCTATGAAGAGTATGGCTTCTTGGACATAGACTTTTTAAAGATTAGAGAAAAAGGTAACCAAAAGACCCAATATGTGGGCCGTAGACAAGAAAAGTGGCCACAAGTAAGGGACACTGGGCAACATGACGGTGCTCAGCAGGAAGAGGAAGGTCAGAAGAAAGGAGAGAAGGTCCTGAAAAGAACGGTTCTTTAACCTTTTGTTCTTTATTTTCTTCATTGCTAATGAAGAAATGTCCCGGGGGGGGGGGGGGGGGTAGAACATTTTTTTCTCACCAGCAAATTGTGGCCTTCATTATCTATTTAAATCAAACTAGAATAAGATTGGTTTCGTTACTTTGATCCTACTATGGGTCTGTTTCCATGCCTAGTGGAAATTGGTAGCTGCATGTTCTCACAGTTCGTTTACACGTGGCACAATGGTGCCTGGCTCCGATTCTTTCCGTTGGCTGTCCTTGGTAATGATCACTGGTCAGTGTTGACTACCAAGAATTTTTGCTTCATACTGTGTGTTAAGGCCATTTGGAGCAGCTCAGGATCATGTGGCCTTCATACCTTCCAACAGGTGTTCTGATGGCCATACCTGACTGCCCACAGTCTCCATCATTCTCCTACTTGAATACTATGTTACAGCCATATTGTCTTCAGTGGAATTTGTCACCTTGCTCTTTTTTGTTTCTGATGTCAAGCTTATTATATACTTTGTTTCCAATATTGTATTTTTCATTTTAGCATTTTGAGGTGTTTTTTTACTTTTTTATTGAATGTATTGATTGGGGTGACATTGGTTAATAAAATTATATAGGTTTCAGACGTACAATTCTATAATACATAATCTGTATATTGCATTGTATGTTTATCACCCCAAATTATGTCTCCTTCCTTCACCATTTATCCCCCCTATACCTTCTTCTCCCTCCCCATCCCCTTTCTTTCTGGTTGTCTATGTGTATGAGGTTTTTTTTTTCTTCCTTGTTTTTACTTTCCATTTCTCAATGGAAACTCCCTAATTATGTATGCTCTCCAACTCTGCCACTGGATTCTGTAATATATTTATCATGATTATTTTTAAGTTCCTATCTGATAACAACAACTGGGCCATTTTTTGGTTGGTTTCTATTCATTTTTTTTCTCTTGTTCATGGGTCACTTTTTTCTTCCTCATGTGTCATATATGTGTCAAATGGGCATGTGTGCCTGATCACACATGTGTTTTAGGCTGCAAGTACAGAAGAATGAGTCCATCCAAGTTAGGGAGCTTCTCAGGATTCTAACCTGTCCTACATCACTTCAAAGTTTCACAAACATTTAACCAGTTTCTCCTGACATCTGTCCATGGGAGAGTCTGTCCCTTTCTGCCACTTGATCAGAACTGACAATAACTGTGGCTTTCTGTCTCCTAGGGCCTGTTATTTATTTATTTATTTTGGAACCTAGATGACTTTGGTTTCTTTGAGTCCTCAACTGAGTTTTTGTTTTGTCTTGTTTTGTTTTTGTTTTTTTTGTTTTTTTTAATGACTTGGCTAATGTATAACTTATATACAGTAAACCTCACTTATAGAAAATATGCAGTTGAGTAAGATCTGACAGATGTGTGCTCTGTGAAACAACCACCACAATCAAGATACATAACATTTCCATCACTCCTGAAAGTTTTCATGTGTCCCTCCCCTTTCCAATCAGCTCCCCCTCCTCCTCTGTCCCCAGATAATCATTGGTCTCCTTTCTGGACTCATAACTTTGTATGTAGTAACCAGATTTTATATAAAAGTAATATTACTATATGTACTATTGTTTGTGTGGACTCATTCAGTCTGTGTAATTATCTACTTTGTTGCAATATTTGCTAAGTGATAGTTCTTTACATGTATGGCTGGCTATACAACATTATTTTTTTTCATTTACAGGAAAAGACATTTCAAGAGTTTCTGTGTTTTAGCTATTATAAATAAAGCTGCCATGAACATTTACATACAAGTCTTTGTTAGAATATATTGTTTACCGTTCTCTTGGGTAAATACCTAGAAATGGAATAGCTAAGTGACAGGATAGGATATATTTAATATTTTCAGAAACCACCAAACTCTTTTCCAAAGTGATTATATTTTTTTGCAGTCTCTCCAACTGTGTCAGAAAATTCCAGTTATTCAACATCATCACTAGCTCTTGGCATTGTCAAACTTTTAAATTTTAGACATTCTAGTAGATTTTTGCCTCATGACTAATAATATTGAACAGCTAAAGAGTTCTCTATTGACTATTCGCATGTCTTTTTTAATGAAGTATCTGTTCAGATCTTTTGCCCGTTTTTAAATTAATTCCTTGTTTTCTTATTTAGCTCTAAAACTTTGTATATTCTGGATTTAATTATTTTGTTGATATATGTGTGGCAAAGGTTTTCTCCCATTGTGTGATTTGCCTTTTTGTTTACTCAGTGGTACCTTTGGAAAAGAAAACAATTTAAAAATTTTTGTGAAGTTCAATTTATCATCTTCTTTTAGGTGTATGCTTTGTTTTCCGTATTTAAACATTTTTGCTTCATACAAGGTCACAAAGATATAATCCTATTTTCTTCTCCAAGTTTCATAATTTTAACTTCTACATTTAGGTCTGTGATCCATTTGTAATTAACTTTTGTGTATAATCTGAAGAATGGATCGGAGTTTATTTTTTCCATATGTATATTCAAGTTTTTCAACATTATTTATTGAAAAAGCTTTCTCTTCCCAGTGCTTTGATACACTCATTTAATTGAACAAACAAATGTGAACCTGTTTGGGGGCTCTTTATTCCATTGATCTCTGTTAATTCTTTCAAATCAATACCAAACTTATTGATTACTGTATTTTTATAATAAGTTTAAATCAGATGTGTGTCTTTCAGTGTTGTTTTTCTTCCTTAGCATTGATTCAGCTATTCTGTGGTTTTCAATAAATCTCAAAAGGCTGAATACTAAAATGCTAAATATTAAAAAGCTGCCTGAGATTTTGATTGGGATTTTATTAAATGTTTAGATTATTTGGGGAAAACTGAGCATGGTATATCTCTCTATTATTTGGCTTTTCTCAATTTCTTTTACCAATGTTTGTAGTTTGGCAGTCTTGCAAGCTTTTGGTTAGATTTATTTCTAAGTATTTTATATTTGTTCACATTATTATAAAATACTTTTTAAAAATACAATTTTTAAATTGTTTACTATGAGTACAGAAATTACAATGGACTTTTTTTGTATTAGCTTTGTATCCTGCAACCTTGCTAAAATTACATTTTAGTTCTCCTTGTTATTTTGTAGATTCCCTTGGAAATTTCTACATATATATAAAATAAGTGTTTACTTCTCTCTTTCCAATCCCCCCCCACCCCCACCCCATAACTGCAGCCAAACTCATGCCCAGGTCCAGGGGCCAGGGATCCAGAGCCCCTGAGCTGTGGAGCTTGCTGGGGCAGACAACTGTTGCCTTTTATTTTCTTATTTTCGTGACTAGGACCTAACATCAGTACAATATTGATTAGATGTGAGAGGTGGAATCCTTGCCTTGTTTTGGATTATAGTCAGAAAGTGTTCAGTCTTTCACTTTGAAGTATGACTTTAACTGTAGTTTTTCAATATATTTCCTCAGATTTTTTAAAACTATGATCATATAGTTTATTAAGTGAGTTCTCATTAGGGTTGGAGTGGAGGTCTCCTGTTTTATACAACCCAGTCAGAAGTGGAAGTCTCTGTACTTTGATTTTGTTTGAGCTAACTTTGTTCACTGTGTAGTAATTATTCCTGTTTAGAGAAAACTACAAATATATGTAAATCAAGAGATTTCTATTCTCAAAATCCTTCTTTCAAACTTGCTATTCCTCTTACTGTAACTGGCCATAAAGTAACCTTTACTCATTTACACTATAATATTTCCTTCATAACTTCTTATTTTTTTTTTCACTTTTACTCTGCTAATATTCTTGAAATTTGTCTCAGAAAAGTCATATATATTTATAATCTAAACGTTAAATGATATTTTCTCAGTCTTTTTGCTCTAGACTGAATTGTGCCTCCCCCCATGCATTTGTTGATGCCCTAATCCCCACTGTGATGGTATTTAGAGGTAGGGTCTTTGGGAGATAATAAGATTTAGATGAGGTCATGGTGGGGAACCTTCTTGATGTGATTAGTGCCCTTGTAGGAAGATACGCCAGAGAGCTTGCTGTCTCTCTCTCTCTGTGCCATGTGAGGATGCAGCAAGAAGATGGCCATCTGCAAGCCGGGAAGATCGACCTCGGAAGCCTCACCAGAGCTGGTGCCCTGCGCTTGGACTTCCGGCCTCCGCACTGGGAAAATGAATGTCTGTTGTTCAAGTCGCCCAGCCTCTGGTATTTTGTTATGGCAGCCTGAGCTGACTAACACACCCCCTTACCCACTGCAGACTCTCAATATACACGCCTTTTCTCTTGTGTTCTCTTCTGTTTACATTCTGATCATATTTACCTGATGGCTGCTTCTCCACATTCATCGTAACATCTTCTCCAGTTCTTCAATGTGAATTTTCCCCAGAGTACTAAACTTGGCCATCTTCTCTCTCTACATGCAGCCCTTGGACATTGAACAGATTGTAATAAATTGAAATAAACTCCTTAATTTAATGGCTTCCTCTAGGTGGAGGACCACAGATTTGTATCACTAGTCTGCTAAACCCTCCTTAATTAAAGACTCCAAGTACCAAATGCGTCTCTACGTAGGTACCCCACTAACAGTTCAAGATCCTTGTGTATAAAACAGAATTCCACATCCCTTTTCTCAAGCCTACTTCCGTTACCTCTTTCTATTAAAGGCACCATTATCCTTCCAGACAAACCTCAGAGTCAACTTGTTCCTCAGATCTAGTCCCTTGCCACACAGTGACAACATTAATTTCGTAGTATCTGTAGCACCCATCCCTTCCTGCCCCTTGCCACAACTTCCTTCATTCCTCGAATTTCTGTACACTGTTCTCCCTCTGTGGCATGCCCTTTTACTAATATCTGTATGTCCAAATTGTAGTCATTTCAGAAAATAAATTCAGCCCTGGCTGGTTTTGCTCCGTGGTTAGAGCGTCGGCCCGCAGACCAGAGTTGCATGTTTGATTCTGGTCAAGGGCACGTACCTTGGTTGCGGTTTGTTCCTGGCCCTGGTCAGGGTCATGCAGGAGGCAGCCAGTTGATGTGTCTCTTTCACATTGATGTTTCTTTCTCTCTTTCTCTCTTTCCCACTCTATCTAAAGATAAATGGAAAAATATCCTCAGGTGAAGATTAAAAAAAAAAAAGTTAAAATTCCATACATTACAAGAAGCTTTTCCTGGTCATTCTTTTGCTGCCTCAGCCTAAAAGTGATATTTATTATAAGCATCATTAATTCTCTTATATTCTCCACTTTTTATTATAGTCATTTAAGAATACACACACAGACACACACAGTAGACTTTGAAGAAAGTTAAAGGGAATAATTTTATTCTCTTTAGAAGCTCAGAAATATTGATTGGATTATAAATGAATTTGTGAATAACATTACAAAATTTCTTTCAGAAAGCAAAAACAATCCATAGGCTCCAAAGTAGCCTCATTTTACTTGTATTTTATTGGGGTTTTTTGCCTGTATTTTGACCTATATGTATTAGTAGCCTAATATTTTATTGATATTGGTTAATAAGTATCAAATGTCCAGTAATATGTGCTCAGTGCTTCTGATAAAACCCCATCCTGAACTATAGGAAGAATGTGTGCTTTTCCATTGAAGCTAATGTCACAGTGAAGTGGAAAAAGACAGAGAACAATATGAGTGAGCATTTTTGGTTTCTCTGGCAGATCGGAGTCATCTGTATAGAGTGATATTTTTCCCTTCCAGAAAGGTTAAAAAACAAATAATAAATAGAAAGAAAAAGAACTGACAAAATAATAAAAATTAGATTTAAAAAAAGCTAATAAAATAATAAAAGGGAAATAATAGGAAAACTTTTACAAAATATTTTCTTCTCAAGTTTTGTGTCAATTACATATATGTATTTGTGTCTGCATAAACCACATATGCCAAAAGTACAGGGGCAATAAAGGGAGAAGATTGGGTAAATCTGACAATAGAAAGGTAAGCTGCCCATACCTTTTCCATGTTTGTACCAGATGACTTCCAGCTAGTAGTTCTTTCCTTTAATTTCAGCATAAAATAAGTTACTAGAAGTCCAAAGTTGGATGAGTTGTGATCTGCACTGGCTAGTTTGATTGAGGCTGAAAACATGCCTAATGTTCAATGAAGTGGCAAAGACAGCAGATTGAGTAAGGTTTAGAAAAGTGTTTAGAAAATATGTTTAGAAAAGTGAAAAAAGATTACAGGTGGCTTCTTGAGAAGGTATAAATGGTGAGAAAATCATGGAAAAGAGTCTGGGGAAATATTTTAGAAACTACAGACAGCCAAAATAACTTTATTGTGTGTTTTAATATTAATGTAATATTAGATGAACCAAAGCCTCTGATGGGACTCCATCAGATTAATATTACAAACAATTAAGGGTGGGACTTAGGTTAAAATGACTAAGTGTTACATTTTTCTCAAAGCTGTAACTACAATTGTTGGGGCTACACAAAAGGAGGAGGGTTTCTCTGTATTTCAGTTGAGGAGATGATCAGACTTTATTGGGGTGAACTCTGGTCTCCTGGTGAAAACTGCTTGAATCTTGTCTGACCTCTGTACCTCAAGAGCTTTGGGGTTTAGGCTGAGTCACTAAAATCTGGGCTTCTGTCATCTGCAAGTGGAAACTATTGTAATATATACTCTTCTATGACTTCTAGTTCTAAACTTCTATTCTGAAAATGCCTGTGTCTTTATGTAGACTTTTATGTGAGAAATACTAAAAAATTATTTGGGGTTTACTGTGAACAGGAATTTTTTTTTCACTTTCCCTATTTTAAAACAATCAGAGAAGCAAGAAGGCATTAGTAGAATATGGCTGTGTTTTTGGATTTAATGGGAAAGACCTCAGCACAACATGAACGTTGTGAGTATCCAAATATATGCCTGCAGAGTACATGTTCAGAAGCCAAAATTCATTTCTGATAATGATTCCTTCTAATTATTATGTAAAAACCCAGATCTACTTAAATGTCTAGAACCAGAGAGGCTCAAAGTATTATTTTGCAAAAGGGAATCTCCTCAGAACGCTCTGGAACACGGAAGGGTCTTTCATTCCAGCAATTCCGCAATATCAAGGCTTCATTCCCTCAGGTGACACGGCCAACAGTCTGACCTTCCATTTTCTTCTTCTATTTTAGCAGATGCAGTTAGTCTTTATATTCCCAGATTGTATTTATTCGTAGAGGAATGTGAGTAATAATCACTATGGTGTACAAAAAGCCCCTCATCTCAAGACCCACCCAGAACACTGGCTCTGTAATCAGACAGGCCCAGGTTCATTTCCTGTTCCTGCCCCTCACTGGGACAAGTACTTAATCTACATTTTAGATTCTTCTTGGGAAAAAAAAAAAAAATTAACACATGCACACACATTTCCCCATAGGACTGTTGAGATTACGTGATATTTGTAAGTTCTTCGTTGCCCTTTAAAACAGAGGTCAGCAAACTAACTCTGTAAAGGACAAGAGAATAAATATTTTAGGCTTTGCTGGCCATGTGGCCCCTGTCACAATCACTCATCTCTGTTGTTGCATTTCCAAAGCAGCAGCTACAGGCCACTTGTAAGTGAATGAGCCTGTAAAGGTAAAACTTCTGTTTTTTCTTTATTATCAGTACTTCTGACAACAAATGTGTGTTTTCCCCACCAAGTAGTTTTCCAACACCAGTTGCGTGTCCTTCAACCTAATTTAATTCTGAATTGTACTTAGAGGTAGTGTCAGGTCCCATAGACTAAGGACTCCATCCCACAAGGGTGCTCCACTTGCCATGTCTGGGCACCTGGTACTTCTAACCAGCTATAAATCGAAGGTTCCCAAGGCCTCCTCTCCGAGTTTGATTATAGGAGAGCCCAAATTCAGGAAAACAGTTTACTTATTGGATTACCAGTTTATTACAAAAGGATAAGCTGGGGTACAGCCAGATGGAAAAGATGCATAAAGCAAGGTATGAGGAAAAGGAATCCGAGGTTTCATTTCCGCTCTGGACACACTCCCCTCCCAGTACCTACATGTTCAACCTCCAGCCCCTCCCCGCTCCCTGGAGATCTGGGTGAGATGGGAAGTTCCCACCCTGTCATCACTTGGATGGTTCCCCTGGCAACCAGGCCCCATCCTGAAGGTATCCAGGAGCCCCCAGCCTCTGTTACCTCATTAGCTTACAGAAAGACACCTGTCACTTTGGAGATTTCAGGGCATTTTAGGAGCCATGTAGCAGGGAACAGGGAAAGAGAGAAGGTGGGCAATGGTCAAATATACCTTCCTTATAATGTCACAGCCTGGCTGTGTTGCAGTGCAACTTTAGTTACGGAAA